GAGTAGGGTCAACATTCCTTTTAAAGTCAACACCACTACTCAACAATGAGCCCACAGGCCATCTCTGTCCCCTGTCCCCTCGTTAGGTACAGAGACACTTTCATCACCAAACTTACCAGATGCCTAAAATCAATTCCTTCTGAGACTGACATCTTAAATGTAAATATGGAGATTAAAATCAGGCAGAAATGAAATTCCATGAAAACAAACTTTTAAATATGAGTATGGTATTAGTTGATACATAATGAGCATACAGTTTCAGTATAATTCATTCTTAGTGCAACGTAGTGTGTGACTTCTGTTTTATTTTCTATCTCTTCTCTAGCTTGAGCAATCAGCTAGCTCTTCTTATATGATGGGAAGGAAGAATAGGATTTAGATGGACAAAGATGGAGGAAAAATAGTATCCCTGGCAGGAAGGAAGCAAAGCACAGAAATAGAAAGGCCCTACCCAGGCATCAAAAAATGGTACATAATTTAATTAGGATGAGCTGAGGCCACATGGAGGACTACAATACACACTGGACTGGAATAAAATTGAACCTCTTATACTCAGGATGACTCACCGTCAGGCAGGGCCACTTTCGTGAGCACATAGCCAGGGCAGTTGTGGGAGGAGGGGCAGGTGTTGCTCCATTGCCCTGTGAGACATTCTTAACACTTCGCTCTTAGAACCTGTGTTGCACATGAAGTCTAGTGGAATGGTCGAGTTTGAACCAGTTCAGAGATTTGGTTCTATATGTGCTCCCATCCTACTTTCTGCCCCCAAATTAGGTCTTGGTCACCTGACCTTCAATCCCATCCTCCCATCTGCTCCTTGTGAAAGAGGACTCCCCCCCCCCCCCGTCTCTACTTCTGACTCCGCCAGACCATCATGACCTACTCCTAAACATTCTCACAGACTCAAGCCACCCTCTGTTCAATCCTTTGGGTCACTGCCCCCCAGCTCTCCAATGTGCCATTTTGATCATACCAAGGAGCTTCTCGAGGACTCTTGTCAGCAAGTTCTTTCATCAGACGTTCAAGGTCCTTCACATGTTCTAACTCACTTTTGCACACCTGAATTGTAGATAGCACATGCAGTCTTTTAGCCCAGTTAAAACACTCCTTGTCACCTGTACACATTTTGTGCTTGCATTTCACTCTCTCTTCTGAAGCCATTTTGCAGTATCTAAAACACTTCCACAAGCCTCAAAATCATCTCCAACCAGGAAACTGTTAACAGCTTGTTAACAGCTAACAAGGCGCCTCTTTCAGGGAGTCTTCCACAAGTTGGGCTCTGAAGTGACTCTGAAAGGAAAGCCATCCAGCTTTGCCACTTGAGCATAATGTGGCGGAGATGGCAACTTCGAGAGCTTGGGGGACAGGAAGTTTACCATCTCTCCTTTGTATGCCCACAGGTTTAATGGGCTCTCTGCCTGTGGGATCTGATGAATTAGTGACTCTGTTGTGTAAACAGACCTGTCTTCTGAAAGCCTAGCACACCTGGAACCATCCTGCGTCATCCCTTCCTCCTCTCAGTTCACCTAACAAAACAGCCTGCCGCTTTTCAGACCCAAGCCCATCAAACACCTGTATCGTCATTATCAACACTAACACAGACTCATCTCGCACTTTTTATTAATGTCTAAAGTGCTATATTCTGGGTGTTTGGAATAATCTCAAAGAGAACACCTGTTACTTAAGTGCTCTTATTTGCAACCTCTTGAGGGCAATTTATTCATTACTATATTAAAGTGGGTTGTTTAATAACTTATAACTGTCAGAAAAGAAAGGTAAATTACAGTCACTATGCTCAAACTGGATACCTAAAAGGCATGTGTTTTTCCACTTGCAATTCTTTATTTTTCCCCTAATTTCTATCCTGTTTTCTAGGAGCAATTAAGAAATGCAGTGCAAACCAGTGAAGGCAAAGGAGATTTATTTTTGCTGCCAAACTCCTATTCAACCTTAGTATCTCATTAACTATCCTACCCTTGACTTCAGGATGCCATATTCATTATCTTAACTGTATATGTGTCTTTAATGCCTTTTTCTTGCTCAAAGAAGCCCCCAAGTGATTAAAACCATTAACCTAATTACCCAATGATTAAAAATTTGAAACTCTGCATGCTAAAATTTCATTCTTCTGAAGATAAAAGGTACTAACTGAATCTAAGCAAGACACACCTTTAACTATGTGTATTTGAAGGGATAAAGATGGTTATATTTTTACATAAAAACCTCAAGATGTTTACATGAATAAGAATTAATGCATGATAATTAAAAGGCAAATGTGGGGCTGGAGAGATGGCTCAACAGTTAAGAACACTGATCTTCCAGAGGACCAGGGTTCAATTCTGAGCTCTACATGACAGATTGCAATCATCTCTCCAACCAGATGCAGCATTTCCAGTGCCATTTTCTGGCCTCTGTGGGTACTGCATGCATGTGGTGCACAGACACACACAGGCAGAACTCCCATACACATAAAATGATTTTTATTAAAGATAGACTTTGGAAGGTTCAGTTTTCATTATGAGGAATCTGTAAGTGTAGAGAAGGGAAAGGGTGGGGGAAATGCTAGAACAGTCAAAGGAGGCAGCCACAATGCAGCTCTGAAAAACTTACCTAGAGGAACAAAGCACTGAGCTCTTACTAGGCTATGATATGATTAGGTGTCATCAATGACACTTAAAGGGCTCCTAAGAATAGAAGAACAGCTATTTATATATTCTTTGCATGTAGTTGGTTTGAAAACAGTTGCTTTGAAGATGGAGCACAGGTCAAATGTGCTGAGTTCACACCTCAGTCTCAGAGAAGACAAAACAGGTACCACCACCACCATCACCACAGACTGTTGCCATGTCTTAAATAATTGCCCCGTACCAGGTACTGTCTTAGGAGCTTTGGTGCAGCATCTCATTTCAGGTCCACGTAATGACCTTTGCCAGATAGGTGTATTGTTCCCAGCTTATGAGTAGAGAAATGAAACAGTGAGATTAAGTCTCTTTAGGCCCTACTAATGATGATGATAATGTATTAAAACAAAATGGAAAAAAAGCTATTTCATTGGAGAGAATAATAAATGGAAGAAAACACAAACAACTAGAAATACACAGCAGAAGCCAATTGTAAAGTAAATAATAATAATAACAATAATTTCTCACCCCAAACAAGTGAAACTAAAGTGACCCAAGATCTTAAGCTCCCTGTAGCACCTTCCACCTACCTTCCCTTCTCAACTCTACACGCTTATCTTATTTATAGCCACTGCCACTGCCTTGGGGGAAAAGGGAAAAGGAAAACCTCCATCTCCTATGTCAGCTTTCAAATACAAAAAGGCAACTTGCCTCACACTCTGTCTGCAGAATAAGGCTGAGCTCACAGGAAGCAAGAGTCACTGAAAACCTGATTTGCCGTGCCTGTAACAACTTCCACAGCCACAACTCTGGGCATCAAGAAGACAGGCTGAGGGTGCCAGGAACTATAGTTTTGAAAAAAGTGCTGTATATGAACAATATCAAATGCAAGTTAAGGGCTGAAAGAGAATAATGTTTTAAAGTCATAAAAATAGGAGAAAATCAATTGTGGATGAATAAGAAATATAAAAACAATAGAAGGACTACTGTCCAAGTTTCTACAAGTAGCCTCCAGTTCAGGAGGAACTTATGTAGCTCACACACACAAAGGGATGTGAAAAGAGTCTTCAACATAACAATTATTAAATGTTTTCATTTCTTCCAATGACTTTCTAGGACCATAGAGAAATTGACATTTATTGAAAGTAGTAATTAGGTTGCTGACCTTCAACTTATCAAAGTCTTTAAGAAGGATATACTGAATAATGTAGCTAATCAGTAACAAGAGATTAACAAAACAAATTACTTTCCCAGGCACCCCTTAATATTAAAAGGTCATGTGGACAGACATGTCACAAACATATGAGATTTGGGTTTAGCTCATTTCAGTTGGTCTATGTAAAATCATAAACTTTCAGATGCCACAGAAAAAAAATTACAAAAAAGTTCTTCCCACAACTTTTGCTATTTTGCTCAATAGCATACAAAGATTAGAGAAAAGCATGTCTCTATGAGACAATATATAATAATGAAAGACCATAGAACCAAGGGTAAGAACTTTCCGTTCTTGGGAACTCTGAGGAAGTCTCACAGAAAGTAACAACCAGCATCTCATATCAAGTTCAAATCACTGTAAAAATGAAAAGACAGGGAAACCACACAACAACATGTTGAGCTTGCTTTTCCACTTGAATCCAGCACGTTCGCTGTGCCTATTGCCTTGGGAATTGCTAAAAATATACCAATGGGGGTATTTTACAAACTAAAACTCCACTTGCTCCCCTGAATCTAAAGCTGACTACTATATCCAAGCTTGAAGAAGACTAGACCCTTTAATTGTCTGACCTCTCTAAACTCCACTGAAGCAGACAAGAAGAAGACCAGAATGGGCCAGAAATTCAGTCTTCCCATCTTTCCTCCTCTTCTGCATCTTTCTTACCTTGGAACTTATGCAAACTTACCAAAGAAAAGGTAGGCATCGAGTATGTAGTTAGTACATCAAGTATGTATGTAGTATCAAGTATTCCTTTCACCTTCCAACCTTGAAATAGGGCATAAAAAATCATCATACCCTCCCCAGCACTAGAAACACAAGATACTCATTTTCCTCAGAATAACCCCAGAATTCTAGAAGATACACTTCTTTCTAGCATTTCACAGATGCATTTAAACCATAAGACATGTTCTTAAGTACAGTATCTTGACAGAGATACATGTGATGTTATTGAGCGACACACGAATTTCCCATAAGTCATGTGTTAAGAAAAAAACCATTCCGTCAAAGATGATGTTAACACTCTAACTAAACTCAAGAAGGAACTTAAATAGCAAGACTATATTGCAAAGAGTCTAAATAAAAGTGGCCTGGTTGTCAAAGGATGAGGGAAGGCATGGCTGCCATCCAGTGGGCTGGGGAGCAGAGGACAAGCAGAGCCCTACCTGATAGGCATCAGGAATGTTGACAGTTTCTCCATGTTCCCCGACATAGCCAATGATGCCTTTGCCCCAGGGGACCTGCACCTCATTTGAGTTCTCTGTGCTGCTGCAGGGGAGTAGTGGGGTTCCAGCATGCACATCAAAAAATTTGGAGACCAAACTCTTCTTGCCAGCAGCTGCCCCCTCCACTAAGAAGAGAGAGCAGCGGTCAGCGTCCACCATGAGACAGACAAAGATGAGAATCTTGTAGCTTAGGCTGGTGAGGTCAAGGTCATTGGAGATGTCCTTGACCAGTTCCAGGAAAAACTGACGTTCGTTATGCTTTTTGAGGTGGCATTTGTAGTCGATGGCCGTAGGGGGATACTGAGGCAGATTCACCCTGGATTCCAGCAGGGCACTGAGAATGTGGGCTGTGGTAGGGGGCAGAGAGCTGGCCTTCCTGAGCAGGGCCCTCCGCCGGACACTGCTCATGGGCTCCTGGGCCCGGGAAGTCACCTGTTCATCGTAGGTCCTGTTCACATGGATGGCTTTGGAGCGGGCAAAGCTCTTCCGCAGCTCTTTCTGCGAAGCTTTCCGCTGCAGGTTCCCATCACCCCGGCTGCCACTAGCCCAGCTGGGACTCAGGGGAACACCAGCACTTTCCCCACCACCGGGCATGGGATGGGTGTTGGCAGAGCCCTGGGGTCCAGCACCACCACCCATCCCAGTGCTGCCTCTGCTACTACCCTGAGCCAAGCTACCAGTGCCAGCCAAGGCATGCTTCAAGCCTGAAGCCCCCTGTCCCGGACTGTGCCTTTGTAGCCACTTGTCCACCAGCTCCTGCTTCCCTTTCCGCATCAAATAATCTTCCAACAACTCTGGGTGCCTATCCAGAAAAGTTTCCACCTCCCCGAAGTCCAGGCTGGAGGCTGCCATGGTCTAAGGCACCCTTTGCCTCTCGTCTCTCCACTCTTGGACCACACGTTAACCTGTCCCGAGGCCTCTAGCTGTTGCTGCACATGTTTGCCCACACCAGTGTCCCCAGCTCGGTGCTACCTCCCCGCGGGCCAGCAGGAGGTTGATAAGAACAGCAGAATCCCAGCTGGGAGGCGCCGGCTCTTTCCGAGGCTCAGAGCCGCTGCCACCCACCCTACCCCTGCTCCTCTTGCTCCACACAGGCGCCGGCCCCGAGCGCCTGGCCGAGGCCACCGCTGCTTCTCGGGTGGCTCGCACCGCTGCTCCAGCTCCCGCAGCCGCCGCTCCGCCGCCACTGGAGCGGTCAGAGTGGACCACTGTGAGCGGAGGGAGGCAGGACACGCCCCGGAGTGAGGCTCTGAGTCCGCTGGGGGTAGGAGGGGAGGAGCAGACGGGACGCACAGCAGTCAAAGTCCACAGCTCTGGGTGCAAGCGGTTCCTGGAAGAGTCTCTGCGCAGCTCTGGCCGAGTGGGAAACGCACCTAGATGCCCCCACCCCACCCCGCGCGCCGCCCTTCCAGCCTCACCTCCCCAGCCGGCCCTGCTCCGCCCCCTAATTCTTCATCTTTCCAGAAGGCCCCTGGGGAGCCCAAGTACTGAGAAATACTGATGATTTGTGAGGATCAGAACCCAAAGTGCACTCCGAAGAAATGAGGGTCCCCAGAGTCAGCCCGGGTTTTGTTTTTCCGGGATGAGACTGTACTTTTAGTTTGCTGGGTTCCTCGGACTGCCCAGCACTCTGTGGGCGTGCAGCAAATAGTAATCAAACTAGTTTCCTTGAAGTTCCTTCTCTGTGTTAGAGATTCTTGAATTTAACGAAACTAGGGGATACTCACCCCATCTCTTCTCTCGGTGATGGAGGGGAGCTGTACTTTGAAAGAGACCATAAAACTCGGTTGCCCTGAGATAGGGACATCCCTAGGCGCAGAGGCTCGTGGACCCGCGGGCGCGAGGCTCCTTTTCTGCTGCACACGTGACCCATCATCTGTTTTCTTCCTCTCCCTAATGAGTCCTCACCTTCTCTTCTTTCTCTCTCAAAAGTCAAGTCTTGGAGCTTCTGCACCAAGATGTCTGCACTGTGACAGGTCCTCTCGGCCCTGCCTGGGAAGTTCTTTGGATCAGGCTAGTTCATGCTAGCAAAAGGTTTCTTTTTGGCCTCTTCCTAACCTAGTGGTTAAGCTAGACAGACAGGATCCGAGTGATGTTCTTTATTGAAGGAGAGGTACCTCCGATCCTGAGGGAATAAGGCAGATGCAGAACCCGGACCAAGTCCAGGACAGGAGGCTCTTCCAGAATGCTGTAGGTGAGAGTGACAGACCAGAGTAGCAAAGGAGGCAAGCAGGGATTCTCGAAGGCTCCACGTGGCAGCTCTAAGTTGATGTCCAGGTGAACATCAGAGCTGAGTAGTCAAGGTACATTAAACCTTAAATTAACATAGGGATTAACTTCTCTCCACAGGCCTATGGCACAGAGGTTTATCATCCCACTTTAAAGATAGAAAGTGCTAAAAAGAAACTGAGTGACTTAACCCAGGGCTCACAACCAAGCAGAATGTGTATGCTCATTAGCTTGGCTCTAGAGGGAGGCACACTCTCAGACAGGTCACCGACTGGCTCCCACCTATGCCAGGTGAGTCACATCTGTTCGAGAATTTAGAGCAGGAAAAAAAGGGTAGATCATGAGGGAGAATGTCCTAGAAGTATGCCTCTGAACAGCACCGGGAGTAGAGAACACTTGCTCAAGAATTCTAGTCTGTCGGTGAGGGGGCTAGATACAGACACTGTACCAAGCCTGACAGCCCGGGTTCTATACAGGGATGCATGTGGTGGAAAGAGAACTGACTCCCTCAAATTGTCCTCTGACCTCAGTGCTGCTCCCCACCCAATAAATAGAGGAATAAATAAATGCCATTCAAAATTTTAATTCCAAATGCCCCTGCTTAATCAACGTGGCTTTGCAACCAGAACACCAGTGTGAAATTAAGCAAGGCCCTGGTGCTTTTCTTGCCTCATTTCAAGCACTGCTGCACTGCGACCAGCAGGATGAAGGAGATGGCTCTTGTCGTTTCATAGCAACTTTATCGATGTGTGAGTCACATAGCTTTCAACTCACTCTTTTGATGTTATAATCCAGGGCTGAGGCTATAGCTCAGTTGGTCGAATGCTTGACTAGCATATGCAAAGCTAAATACCATGTAAAGCAGGTACATAGTCCCAGGATTTAGGCCCAGCACTTTGGAATTGGAAGTATAGGAATCAAAAGTTCAAGGCCAGCCTGAGCTACATCAGATGCTTTGTCTAAATATAATAATAATAATAATAATAATATAAATAAGGGGCTGGAGAAGGCATAGCAGTCAAGATCATTGCTGTTCTTGCAGAGAACCTGGTTCCCAGCACCCACATGGCAGCTCACTACCATCCTTAACTCCAATTTCTGGGAATCTAATGCCTTCTTGTGGCCTCCACAGGCTCCAGGTACACACATGGTACACAGACATACACACTAACAAAACACTCATACACGTGAAACAAGGAAAATTAAGTCTCTGAAGAATAAATAAATAAAAAGTTAGTGAAGCCAAGCATATCCATAGATTGTGTGTTTCATGCTCGTGGGGGTGAAGGAAAGCAAAGCAAACCCACAGAGAAACAGGGTGTCTATGAGAGGCGGCATGAAGACTAAAGCTTAGGAAAGGACTGGCTAAAGGGACGAGGTGGGAAGGCAGCCTTTCTGGGGAGGGGACAGTTTAGCAGAATCCTGATGAGAAAGAGGTGCAGTACAGCTTGAATAACAGCATACCTACCAGGCAAGGCGGCAGAAGCACACTCCAACATCGTGAGAAGGAATATGTTGGAGTATTTGTGAAACAGCATGGAGACTGGCTACAAGCGGAGAGCCAGAAGCAGGATACTGGTAGTTAGGAGTTGACAGCTGCCGAAAAAGTAAGTGGTGGTGATGAAGAATTAAAGAAAAAAAGATGTTCTGCGGAGTGCCTAGATCACAGAAAGTCTTAATACTCACTAACTATGCTGTCACTTTTATTTGCATCAGTCTTCTCACTGGTGTGTGGAAACCTTGCTGCATACAGTCACATCTCTGGTCATAATCAGTGACCTATCAGGAGGGATGGTTAATGGTTTGCTCTAACTGGGTAGTAGGGGCTCACAAGAGCCTATTTTAGCCTGTGTGTCTAATGAATGCCCAGTTCATCATTCAGTCAGCCATGATGGAAATGTGTGTGCCATGGAAGTCTACAAATATATTCCAGGTCTGGATTTGTGAGTGTGCATGAGTCTGTTGGTCTCTGTCCCTGACTCTGTGTGTGTGTGTGTGTGTGTGTGTGTGTGCTTGTGAGAGAGAGCATGCATGTATGTGCTTGGGTATGTTAGATATGTTGGTGTGGGCATCATGCACATATGGAGGTCAAAGAGCAACCTTTGAGTGCAGGGGTCTTGCCTCTCCACCTTATTTGAGATAGGCTCTCTTCAATGCTGTGAACATCAAGTTAGTTGGGCCACAAGCTTCTGGAGAGTTCTGCCTCCATGCTCTCCCCCTTCCCATTAGCTACTGGGATTATAGATGCTTATGCTATTGCAACCAGCTTTTGCATGGCACCTGGGGATCCAGATGAGTTCACCAGGCTCGGGTATCAAGTGCTTTATACATGGAGCCGTTTCTCCACCTACAGGATTGTTTTTTCAGATTATTGGTTGTTTAGAAGTTCTAATATTGGATGAAAACAATTCACATGTCCATCAATTAATTAATAGGTAAATAAAGTGTGCTATAGTCATAGAATGAAATATTACTCTGCCACAAAAGGGATGAGATGCATGATGAGAAACATCATGCAAAGTCAAAATAGTCACCCACAATGGGTCACATTTGTATGATGTCATTGATATCAAAACTCCATTACAGGCAAAAAATTAACTAATTTCTGAATGGAAGGGAAGACGAATGCCTGCAACTAAATGTGAGTGTGTGTGTGTGTGTGTGTGTGTGTGTGTGTGTGTGTGTGTGTGTTTGGGGGGGTCAGGTAATAAAGATGTTTTAACATTGATCGTGTCTAATTTATACCCTACCCCTTACTATTATTTATTCGTTATTACTATTGTGTGATGCTGAGGATTAAACCCAGGGCCTAACACACACCAGGCTAGCACTCTAACTTGAGCTATACCCCTTACAATCTTTTTCTTTTCAGATAGGGTCTCGCTAATTTGCTCAGGTTGGCCTTGAGCTCACCCTGTAGCCCAGGCAAGCCTAGACATTACAGTCCTCTCATTGCGGCCTCCCAGGTATCTGTAATCACAGGCCTGTACCGCCCCTCCCCAAAGCTGGGCTGTATTATACACTTTAAATGAGTGAATTGTACCTCTATAGAATTTTTAAATGCCAAAAACTCATTTACTAACATGCTCCTGGCCATACTGCAATAGTACTACTGCACATGAAGGCAAGGAAGGCCCCAAGCATCCTCACAGAAGGGAGAACAGACCAGCCCCAGGCTGCCTAGGGCAGAAGCTTAATAAATAGTCTTGTTGACATACTCATTACAAATGCAGTTTTATCACTCACCAGTCTCAGACAAAAGATGGAGATAAAAACTCTGATTTTGTTATATATGTATGTATTTTTCCATTGTGGTAAGACTCGTGTGTCATAATCACCGTAACCATTTTTAAAAACCAATTCGGTGACCCTAATTATATTCACAGTATTGTACGGGCACCACTGCTGAGCCCAATCACTCTTTTGATCTTGCAAACTGAATCTAAAACTTCTGATTTTGATCTTGGATCTCATTTTACAAAACAAGAATGAGGTGCTGAGAAAACTGATCAGAGTAAGAAAAGCAATAAAAGAGATCTGGGGGGACGGGGCGGGCGTGAATCTGGCATTTCTGATTTGGTTTCAGATTGGCTCTGTTTGTGTTCCCTGCTTGGCACATGAAGTCACAGTAACACTGAAGTGTTGGTTGTTGAGGTAGAAAGCTGGAAGGCTTGAGAACACTGTGACAGAAGGCTGCATAATAAGCTGGGCGTTGGTGTGGCCCAAGCATCATTCTCTCCTCACAAACTCAGTCCCAACAGCAGACAGAACCCACACAAATCAAAATAATTCTCAGAGGACTAAATTACAAAGGCTGAACTTGAAAGATAGATTATAGAGAAATTCCAGGGATAGTGAAGGAACCTGAGACACAATAGACAAGTCACCACCCTGATCGTAGGACAGAGAGAAAGGTTACCAGGACCCAGGAGATATATTTGCAAAGTGATCACTACCTTGAAGTGTGCAGTGACAGCTGTCATAAGACACTGAGAACTCAACCCTGCCTCAAAAGGATATCAGAAAAAATACCATGAGTTCATTTTTGCCCCTCCCTCCTGTCAGTGACTGGAAGATGGAGCCTGTTAATGGAACCCCAAA